AAATCTATCCCTGTAACAGGCCATGAAGGCCCATAGGGTTGTGAGACGTTGAGGGTCCCACATTATCCCAGACAGTCGGCTCAAAGATGGCGGTAAGGTTGTCAGCCTTATGCACCGGCCACGCTTTACTCCCCAGGAAAAGTATTTAATTAATTCCTGGTACTCATTTCTGTTAGAGGCTGAATCCACCCCAGGGCCATAGTGCGGCTGGAAGGATTAGCTCAACTGAAAAAATCCACTGACCTCATCGGCACTTGAACCCGCGACCTTCCGGCTTGTAGCATAGTGCCTCAACCAACTACGCTACCACGTGCCCCCATAGTTAATATCCCAGGTTTCTAAATCATGTGATTACTCCCTGCTGGACTGCACCCCACTCTTTGTTCTGTTGAAACATTGATTCACCACTCGTTTGTTAATCACAGCCAGATTTATGAAAATATTTTTGAAAAATGTTTCAGACCACATCTGTAGAGAAAAATGAAACAATTTTTTTTATCAGTACTTGTTTGCATGAGTCTTAAGGTGTCAGATGTAATGAAAGAAAAACTTATTTTAACATGAAAAATTTCACTCTTGTACTTATATTAATCTTGGACAAGCCATCAAGTGTAAACAAGTTTAATGTAAATATATTAATTATTTATATGGCTTATATTTGTGAGCCCTTTGCAACATCTTTAGAGGCACAACATTGAAAAGGACTTACCGTACAATTGCTGTAGATCTTTGTATATTCAGAAATTATACACTTATAAAGTATAAACCTATAAAACTGTAAAACCATAAAGTAAAACTTATCAATCAGAAGTTGGAATATAAAAAAAAAACAAACAACTTTTCTGTTAATATTTAAAAATCTACAAATTATCCTATAATTCTGACTGTACAACTTTTAATTATACAATGATCTATAGCGCTTGTAAAGCAATTTCCTATTATTGTAGAGCCTCTGAAAATGGCCTCAAAGGACCGCTTTATGAAAATATCTAATAGACAGGTTGAGATTTGAACCTGGGATGATTTTAAGATGTTTTGCATAGACACCGATGATTGTTCAATATTTGCAAATTATCGTGGAACTCACAGATGAATGAATCTTTTCAATTTCAGGCCAGCGATGTGAGAGGAGGATGCTCCACATTCCGTTCAAGCCATTGTCAGAACGGATGCTTCATGAACCTTTCTGGTTAGGTCTCATTACAGTAACAGTTGTGCTGGGTGTAATTGGACTGTTCTGGTGTGCAAAACGGCACTTCCCTGAGAAGCTTGAGAAACTGCTTGAAGAAGAACCAGACAGAAGCAGGACAGGTATTTCTGTCAACTAGTTCTGAATTCTCAGTATAAAGTTTCACCCAACATAGGTAGAACGAAATAAAAGAAGAACTCGATTTGTATCCATAATAGTTTGGACACGAAGGCTATCGAGATTTCACATTTTCTAAGAATGTGTTTTTTTCACATTTGTTGGTACTAGAGATATATCACCATTCTTGATAGAGATCTTGTCACTGGGTACAGTCCCTCGTCATGTCAATCCATTCTCTGAAAATATGTTTCTTTAACATTCATTTTAATATTATCATTCCATTTCTGCCTCTATTCCAAGAGAATCTTTCCACCAAAATTGTATGCATGATTGAGAATATTGTTGTTCTCTGGACTATGAGGCGAAGGTAAAGTTGTCCTTATGCTTAACTACCCCTACTCCATGAAGGGGTATCGGGAGTGGATGTATAGATCCACATTTTCTTGACCTCGGCACTAACTGGAGGTGAGTGGTCAGTGTCACTCCCTGGCTGCTTTACCCTCGGAGAAAGAGCCACCAGTACCTATTGGATATGAGGCTGGATGGGCCCCAGAGCTGGTCTGGAGAAAGTGGAGAAGAGAAAATTCTTGACCCTACTGGGACTCAAACTCCGACCCCTCGGTCTTCCAGTCTGTAGCCAATTGCTACAATGACTGTGCTGTCCTGGCTCACTCTTTTGGACTGTGACATAATAAAAACTTGTAGAGCATTATCAACATATCAGAGGAATCTTCTGCCTCTCACTTCTTTCCTGAAGATACATCTCAGAAGACCATAATATTGATATTGGTTCTCACAGCTGTCACTAAGAGGAGTACTGTCCTCTGTCTTCTGATATGCAATGCTGTGTGATTAGAAAGCAAGCATCAAGCTGTATGCTGACTTGGGTTGTTCTTTGCTACTTGCCAGTTTGTGTTACTTTGACCCTGAAGATGGAGGCAGTATGTTCCTCCACCACTTCTACGAGACTACACAGAATCATATTCCAGAATACCTCCTCCACAAATGGTTGAGTCTTTCATGCAGGCTGCATATTGAAGTTCCCTTGAGTAGTCCACCTGATATTATGATAGTAAGATTTGGAAGACTGTACATTGTCATCGATCTGTTCTGCCCGCAGGTTACAGCTCACATTCCCGCCCGCCATCTGTCCGTGAACAGCTGGCTGCAGCAGGAGGGGCAACAGTGGTGGTTGTTCCTAGCCCTCAGCCCGGGTGCCCGCGCTCACTATTTGGCCGCCTGGGTATTCGCAAACCCTCACTCCTCAGCCTCACCAGCCCACACGGCCACAACAACCACCAAACCTCTGCATCAGCTACATCGAGAACATTTAGTTTGGATGATTTGCTTAAACCACCACCAAGAAGTAAGATCAGTCTTAAACCACCGGTATTGTTTTCCAAAACAACAGAAACTGATTGGCTGCCTCTGCGGTCCTGCTGGATCATGAGCGCTATACATTTTGAAGCTGTTTGACCCATTGCATTAGGCTCTTTCTCCTCTCACAGCGCCATTTACACATTTCTAGGACAGGAGATAAGAATTGCACTGGAAAAGGGCCACACTAGCACACATGCTTAAATTATTTACAGTTTCAAATTTATTCCTTTTTTACAATGAAATCTGGTCTCAGATCTGATTTGTCAGTATGAAAATTGTCTAATTCTGATTATGTTGCAGTGTTCTTCATATCCTTTTCTTGTTTTTATGTTATATATAAGTCAGGTCACAGGTGGTGTGCCTACCAGTTGACATACATTGTGAACAAGATCCCAGATAAGTCAAAGATTAGTAAATTTAATTTTCTGTAAGTGTGGTTGGTTGAGGCATTGTGCTACAAGCTGGAAGCTTGCGGGTTCGAATCCTGATGAGGGGGATTATTTTTTCAATTTACCTAATGCTTCCAGTGGCAATATGGCCCTGGGGTCGACTCAGCCTCTAACAGACACGAGTACCAAGAATCTTCCTGATGGGTAAAAGGCGGCCGGAACGTAAGGCTAACAACCTTACCGCCATCTGTGAGCCAGTTGTATAGAGAATATAACTTGGGAAAACTGAAGAAACTTGGGGAAAAACCTGCTCTAGTCCCATTCTTTTCATAAATTTCACATGAAGTCACTTGGAATTGAACCCATAGCTTCAAAGTAAGAATCCAGTGTCTACCCACCTGAGCTATGGCATAACATTATAAAAATAATATCCTTTCTTTTATATATAAAGAGATTCTGTAAGAACAAGAGTTATCGTTGTCATTATGCAATTTCAGGTTACAGTGTCAGTGAAGTACATGTATTAAGCCTTTACATAGTGCTTTAGCATAAGTTATGTAGAAGGTCACGAACGAGCCAGCAGTCTTTTTCCTTTTGTGTATTATGCCATTCTGTGAGTATTTGATATTATTTGATCTGGATGTGTGAAGTGTAATATGCTATATATTGGAGATGCTTTATAATTTGTGCATGTTATTCGTGGGAGATGGCATTAAATATCTGCCTCCATGCATCATTCAGTAACTTGTAGGACTGGAAAGGAACAGAGGAGAAAGCTGGGAAAGTTAATAGTACAGAAACAAGGGACCACTGAATTCTCAGCAGATGTTGCACTAGTAAGAATATTAAGTAGTTTCCAGTTTTAATTAATGGAGATTAATTTGTGTTTCTTCTGGATTAAATGAGGTTAAATCAGGGGCGGCCCGTGTATAGGCACTGAGGAATTGCAGCACCCCCAATTTCCACTTGATATTATCGATAACATTTATATAATGAGTCCTTTTTTCTTTAATTCTTTCTTTATACTTGTACAATACAATATATAATCCTTAAGCTTAATGTTAGTAGCCAAATCTTTGTATGGAACTGTGCACTTCTGGAGGAGCACCCCCACTAATTTTAGCTACGAGCCGCCACTGTGTTAAATTGTAATAATTTAAATTATATTTTGTGCAGTTGTCATAGGATGAATAAAGTTGGCATAAATATGCTGATATTTCATTGTTCTATAATGGAAATGACCTCTATGTACAGTATCTTAAATAATGAAACACCATTATTTCACAGCATTATGAACTAAAGGCTTGGTTATATGTCATGAAAAATTAACAAGAAGAGAAAGAGCCTGATGACTTGGGTTGAACAGTTTGAATGTTGTACAGTTCTCTCCCGTCTCTTGTCTGCGTGTTGTAGCAGTAGGAGTCTGTGGCAATGCCTCTCTTCTCTGACTGTCACTTTACCTCCCTGTCGTGACCACTCAATCCACGTGTCGGTGTTGTGTGTATTAGTGTGTGCTGGTAGGTTCACACCTGTGGTTATAGTGTGCACAAACATACTCAAGTTCCTAACAAACTGTAATTCTGTGGCGGGTTTTCCTGACATTGAAAACAAGGATGTTTAATATGATGTTATTTAGGATTTGAGGTTCTTGCAGCAGTCGTTATAAAGAGTTCTGTATTCTGGGGTATAACTCCATGCAGTCTTTTGAAAGTGTACTGATGTTCTGGGGAAACATATCACCACCATCTTCAGGGTCTGCTTGCTACCTGCTTTATGCTCTTTTCTGGCTTGACCTGTCTTCCTGGAGGATAAGGGTGGCTGGCATGTAAGCCTGGCAACCTTACTGCCATCTGTCAGCCAATAGTCTAGAGAAAATGTGGGAACCTTAACATCTCACAGCCCCATGAGCCTTCACGGCCTGTACAGGGATAACTTTATCCTTTTACCTTTACCTGTTTTTCAATCCTGGAGCTGACATGTTCGCCAGAAACATCAGCTGACTTTCAGTAGACTACATGGCGTTGTATTCCAGAAGATAGAACACTTCATATTTTTACTTATTTGTAATTTAATGACCCTCTCATTTAGCATTGCATGATTGGCTTGTAGTGAATAATGAGCTTGAAAGGATGTGCAAGGAAGCAGTCATGACCTGATTTGAGATACTCCAGGAATGTGAATGGAAAATTGTGGAGAGCCTCCAGGAATGTGACTGGAGGGACTAAGGAAAACTGAATATCCTCCAGGAATGTGACTGGCGGAACTAAAGAAAACAGTGAAGGACCTCCAGGAATATGACTGGAGGGACTAAGGAAAACTGTGAAGGACCTCCAGGAATGTGACTGGAGGCACTAAGGAAAACTAAAGAATCTTAGAATTTTCAGTGTTCCAGACAAGATTCGATGTGGACACCTTTGGAATATGGGTCAGAAGTATTGCTGCTTGTGCCAACTTGCTTAGAAATACAATGTTGTGTATCAGAAATGCTAATAGGTAGTATATTGTAATCATTATGAGTTACAGGAACTGTAGGTTCCCACTGTGTTTAAGATTCGAGGTTTAATCTTATGTCCTTGGTTGGCCCTCATTATTCTCGATGTAATCTTATCATCGGGAACATCAGTCCACTCCGTTGACATTCTTCAGAATTAGACTGCTTAATCTCACTTGGTGGGCAGCCAGACCAAATGTATCTAGAGACTTTTGCAAAAACAACAGTTTAAAATTAATTTTCTAGAATAAACTCTGTCTTCCTACAGAATTTTAATTATTTTAGTGAATTTGTAATGCCATTAATTAAACATATAATATCATCTTTCACTCAAAAGCGAACCGGAAGAACAGAAATACTTTATATGTAATGTATGCTGCCCCTGTAACAGGCCGTGGAGGCCCGTAGAGTTGTGAGACGTCAAGGCTTCCACATTTTCTAGACAGTCATCTCACAGATGGCAGTGAGGTTGTCAGCCTTACATGCCGCCTGCCCTTTACCCCCGAGGAAGGTTCCTGGTACTCACTTCTGTTAGAGGCTGAGTCGACCCCAGGGCCAGGATTAGGTCAATTGAAAAATCTAATGACCCTATTAGGAATTGAACCTGCGACCTTCTGACTTGTAGCATAGTGCCTCAACCGACTACACTATCATGTGCCCCTCTGTAAAATATAATGCCCTCCTATTAGTGATGATAGTCCCTAGATTAAGTTTTTGTACTATAAAGTAATAAATTAAGCATCATGGAAGGTAAATGAGTCTACAGAATCTTAACAGCATCGAACTCAAAAATACTATCCTGTTTTCACCAAGAATTTTACATTAATTCTATGAAGTAGGGAGTACAGGAACTCTGAAATTCCATGCTGTAAGTCCAAAGTAATTAACAGAAGATTTGATAATTACAGTTTGTTGGGAACTTTTCGTAGATGTTAATGTATTTTGCAAACAGCTATGACTCATAAAACCTAAAACTTTTCCTAAAGTAATCATCCAAGAAACATTTATTGTGTAGTCTTGCTTGTCAGACATTTAACCTAATCCAAAACACATAGTCTACTTTTTCACCTGTGAAGGCATGGATAAATGAATACATTATGCTGAACAGAAATTTGTTTGGTGTAGGCAAGTTGAAGAGCAGAAATCCCCAGACTTCCGTCAGATTTGTGGAATGTCTACAATGTAGTTATCAATGGAGAAAGAATTAATACTGATATCTTTTATTTTTTTCTGTTTTATTAACAATTTTCATACCTAAAAAAAATCTCATAATTTCATTAATTGCATTAATGGTATTGCATTTACATTTGAGAAGATAAACATCTTGTCTGAGCATTACTCATGTTTTACTGTTTCTACTGGACTTTTATGTTATTTCACAAATTAATGGTTAGACCATTTCCTCATCTGGATATTTTGTTTCTTGTACCTTTTAGACTAGCCAAAATGACCTGTAAATGTATTTGTCAGTCTCTTACACTGCCTGCTCTTTTTGCTATATGTTGTAAATTCCTGTTAACTCATTATTTATGTTATACATATGTTGTATGGTTTTGGGTAGTTTTCCTTTTCTGAAGACAAATTACAAGAGCTTTACACATATTTCATTATGATTCAGATCTGTTTGAAATGAAAAATGTATCATTTGCAAGACACTCAGTTACAAATTTTTCAGCATCACATCTGTTGTGCAGCCAGTATTTAAGTTTTCCTAGTATCATAGGAATGACATAAAATAGTATAGGGTATCCCAGTATCTTGGCACCATCAGATGATAGTTTTGTTTGTCCATATCCTAACAGTGGAAGCAGATAGTTTCAGTTATACCTGTAGCATGACAACAGTAGAAGATAAGTATAGATTTTCTCCACATCCTTGCAATACCTGAAGATAGTTTAGATTCTCCACATATCCTAATGATTCCTAAGTCTGACAGAAATTGGAAGTTATTTATATGTATATTATTATATTATTTCTGTCTGTGAATATTATTCAGGAGATGATAACAGATATTCACAATACAGCTTAATAAAAGTTTCCTTGAAGTAAGTGTTTTTATGATGATGCTGGTTTAGACATCACAGAATACTTTTCACTGTAATTTCCATCATCTGTTCTCGAGACAGAGGGGAACTTATAAAGCAGAGAAATTACCACTGGCTGCTGTGTAGCTGTGTGCTGAGATGTACACTTGTGAGAACAATTGCCTCAGTGCTGCCCATTATGCTACAGAGTTATGTTGAATATCTTTCTTTTTATTTCCTATCCTAGGTAGGGTGTCTTGTGCTTCAAACACAGATAATTAGCATATGTAGAGCACTGATTGAGTCTTGTTAAATGTAAGAGTACACAGTATTCTGCAACTTGGTATATTCTGCACTTAATCGATATTAGTTCAGCGTAGTTCTGAACCTAAATATTCAAGCTGATAACGGCATGTCTGAATAACTCAAATGTAGTGTAGATGTAGCTAAGTAGTGTATTTGAAATGGGAAATAAGACGCACACGTTGGAACACAAGAGCGTGCTTCAAGTTTGGATTTGCGGTTCTCACAGCAGGGACTGCAAAGAGCATGGTCCTTTGTGTTGTAACACCACGTAGTTAAGGAGAGCCTGACGTTTCAGGGGAATATATTGTGTCTGTCTTCAGGGTGAAAGGGTAAAATAAGAAAGAAACCAGCAAGCAGAAATGAATGCAGTTAGCAAGTTTAGCATGATCATCATACTGCCTTGTTCTGCTGTTTTTTTGCTTTGTTGCTCTTCAGCCCTGAAGATGGAGTTCATCCAGTATTGCAGGCTTTTCCTGAACTTTTTTTTATTGCTAGTGGGGTTGGACTAAGTCACTTGTACTGCGGCCACTTCTGGCATATTGTACCAGCCCCATATGATAGGTGAGGGTGATTGTGGAGTAATTGGTGGAATGAAGATTGGCAGGGGAAACTGAAGTACTCAGAGACTGAGACTGAGTAAAATCACAAAAATCGTAGTCAGGATAGTTGATCTCGAGGCTGAATAAACTTAGAGATATGAGTATTAGGGGTGAGCCATAAAACTGGCACTAGCACTGCGACCATCAGTGGTCTGTTGTGCTTAACTTAGAGATAAGCTTGCTCTGGTGACACTTCATCCACAGTGAGTCTCGCATCAGATGACCAAAGACAGAATCCGAGGTTCCACGGATTTACTCGCACCCTGCAGCTGCATGTTTTTTACAACTATTTTGCTTGGCAGTGCTGTATATGGAACTAAGGAAAAGAACTGCATTTAGAAACAAGAAGTCAGGGTCAAGAAGTAGCCTGTCTATTTTAGTAGAAATAATTGGCCTATCAGATAGTATTGCATTCTATATTTCTCCCCCACCACTTTTATTTTTCTATAATTTCTAGGGGAAACGTTTCTAGAACTATGTTAATGTGGGTCGTTTCTAATGTCACACTTTAACAATTAAGTCATATGTGCTTTTAACCTCAAATGGTTGGTGTATTTGTAACTCATTTTCAGTTTGGATACCACTTTTGTGAGTCATGTTACCCAGTTATCCAGCATACTTCTGATGGGTTGGGTAATTTAAAGTTTGCTCCCCACTGTTTTAATGCATTATATTCAAAATCTGTCAAACATATGCCATCAAGAATCTTTTGTTATTCTCCAGGGACTCCGTCCCCACATAAGAAACGCAACAATTCGACACCAACTAAGAGAAACATTTCTGAAAAGAAGCAGATCCTCCAGCAACTTATAACTCCCTCAGCAAATCAACACAATCCACGGAAAGTGAGCTTGGGTGAGCTGATCCAGCTCAGTGAACGGAAAATGAAACAGGTTGATAAGGAGAAAGAGGGAGGAGCAGACGGAGAAGAGACAGAAACAACATTCAGCACAGCTGTGTCAGATTCGCAGTCGGCGCCCTCTACTGCCGCCATGTCGAGCATCGATACCAAATTCGAGAAGAAGGTTACTTTTGCAAGGCTTCTCAGCAAAGTGTCTGCAGAAATGAGTTCTGGATCAGAGGTAATCGTTGTAATTAGACTTATCTCCAGTGATATACAAATCTCATGTCATTGTCAGAACTGAGTGTATTAGAATTCTGCTTGTAACTCTTATGTTTCTTGTTACAGTTTTCTTGCAGGTATCAAGCTTCAGACAGAAGTCTCTGCCCCTGTCTGTTCTACAGTTTCAGAACCAACCACATTCTCCCATATCTATCCTCTTCTTTCTTTGTCCTTTCTCACTTGATTCTTCCATTATTTCTCAGTCTTTCCGCCACTGACCTTCATTCTGGGTCAATGTTATTACCGTTGCTATGCTCCTTACATTCATTTCTCACTGCCAATCATCTGAAACCAATTTTTGTTTAACCCTAGGAGTGCATACTATAATTCCTACAATGTGAAGCCACCATTTTAAGTTGTCAGACCTTTTGTTCTTTGAAGAAAGCAGTCTTNTTTTGTTCTTTCATTGATAAATAATAAATATAAAACTCCATAAGATCTTAAAGTGCAGGGAATATTTCCCACCACATGTTTCTTGAGTGTATGAGTCAGATAAAACGTCAGATTTGCATGTGCACATCATGAATGCCTGCAATTTGTCTAACTGTCTGATAGTAGAACTGAGGGATGTCCTTACATTCACCCATCCATCATCTTCTCTGTCTTTCAATTGACCATAATTTAGGAGATTTCCCAGTTAAAATTTTGTATGCAATTCATGTCTCCCAAATTTGTTTTGTCCCAAGCCCATCTTAACATTCCTCATTTCACTCTTTTTACAGTACTAAGGTAACTGTACAGATTATGAAGATCCCTTATTATAGATTGTTTTCACCATTGGCAAATTTTAATCCTCATTGTAGTCTTACATTTATACTTAATGTTTTCATCATTCCTAAAACACAGAAACTATACACTACTTTCAGATATATTCCATTTAATGCCACTTGTATTTATGTACTTCCCATAATTCATTCTTACATTCTGTCAGGTGTGTGTGTGTGTGTGTCTATGGTCAAACTTATAAGTAACTCTTCACATGCCTACATCTTTGTATTTATTTGAAGTATTAAAAATATTGTAGCAAGTATTAACATATGGAGCAGCTACTGTCCTGCCATCCATAATCACTTATGGTTGTAAGATCAATTAATTCTCAGCAACACATCTGGTAACAGCAGTGTACTCATTCACCTCTTCTCTTCTTGACTGCATTGCACTGAACTGGGAACTGAAGCTTCAGATCTCTGCCACCTCACCCACAGGGAAGGCAGGCAATCTCAGCCATTTTGTAAACATTCCAGTGCATCTGAGTACTGCACATGCAGGCCAGTCCATACTGGTGCCTTGGGGAGGGGAAGGGTCTAGATGAGAGGTACACACAGGCCAGACAGTGCAGTCCCACCCCATTAGTTTGCATTTCTGTCTTTGTACGTGTAAGTAAGAGGGTTCTAGAAATTGCCAGAATGTTAGGAACAGTCATGTAAAAATAATGGAAATATTTTACTCTGTAATTAGACTCATACTGTGTTTTTTTCTTTTTTCACTGGCTCTACAGCCCCCTTGGGCCCTGGCCTGTGATTTTTCAGGTTCATGATCATTTTACAGATGGTAGGACTCCTGGGACAAGTGATCAGCTTGTTGTAAGGCCTCTCCCTAACCACAGGATAACACAAACACAGAAACAACATGTGCACATATAAAACATTCATGCCTTGTGTGGGATTCAAACCCACGAACCCAGTTTCCAAGTGAGCGAAGACAGTACATGCCTTAAACCGCTTGGCTACCATGGCAGGCATACCGCGAATTTATATGAATAAGTTTCAGAATCTTTTATGTCTCATTACAGGTTGAAGGAAACCAGACTCGCCACCCGCAGCTGTCTGGTCTGCCTCGCTCAAATAGCACTCCACCTTCCCCAGCTACTGACGGTCGGTCACCACACAGTACCAGCAGTAACCAAGGAAGTGATTCCATGTCAAGTCTGGATACAACCCTTCCCCTGCTTGGATGCGGACAGACGGTAACAGAGGTGCTAGCCAACCGCCGCCCCAACCGGTTGCTGCAGCAGACTGGGAGACCAGTCAAGAATCCAAGTGCTGACTCAATCTTGGCGATGTTCCGTAACTTCTCTTCTGCCACTTCGGGTTCAGCCTTGCACAAGACATCTTCATCCACCACTCCAACTGCGTCCAGTCCTCAGGATGACGCTGCGGGTTCTGATGAGTCCTCCACGTCATCTGTCCCCACACCAGTATCATCTTCCAGCTTCACAATAGACTCCCCTCCCTTACCTCATCCCTTCTATCGCCATAACAGCAACACTATAGAAGTCCCGGTGTTGGATGCCCTTAGTGCAAACAAGACCATCAGTGGAAGCGGCAATCTGCTTCAGCCTCCAACAATCTTGTTGGAAATACCCAGCAGTGGAATCAATAAATGTCTCTCACCTATCCGAGAACTTCCGACTCCACTTGCAACCCCTTCCCCATCTCCTGCCCTTACACCCATCATGCCTCGAAGTGCTCCTCCTTATTTGAGAAGCAGAGATGATCAGATTAACATAGTGGACTCTGTAGCTGGTGACTCAGTCCAGCTGCCCTGTATCACAATCACAAACAGCGATGATGAGGAGGAAGAAGAAGAGGATGAAGTGGTTGCAATAGAGGTGACAGACAAGGTTTCTAAGTGTGAGTCATACCCAACTGCTTCTGCTGCTCCTGATGAAAGTGAAGAAACCAAGGCAATACACACAATCCAGTTGCCACTTCCATTCACAATGAATGTAAGCTTGACCTTCTGTGTATTTCAAAACATGTTTCTTAACCCCTTATATGACATAACTGTAATGATGCATGAGATTATGGTAATATAGTGCTCTGATAGGGTTCCATACATGCTGGTTGCAGGCGTACTAATTCTGCTAATGGGATCTGCCAACAACTTTCTGTCTGTCATCAACTGTCATCATTTTCATGAGAAATATTTATTAAAAGAGCTTCTTGAAAGTTATATTTTGTATTTTATGATGGATTGTGATTATGTGAAGGTGGACACCATAGGATTTCTACAAAATTATAAGTTAAAAATTAAAGGATGCAGTGAAGTATTTTTAAAGTTTAGCTCTCCAATCTCGCAACAAAAGGCAGTGCTCCTGGGTTTATTAGTAGCAATAATTTGTTGACCGTATCCAACACACAGCTTTCAGGGAAGTTACTGCGGTGTGTTCACCTGTATGTAGTGGTTGTAATGTGCCATGGTAGCATCTGCTTCCTTTTAATCTTGCTGTATTCCACCAGACACAAAAGAACCCCAGCATTTTAATAGTTGCCTGCAGCTACCCCAAACAGTCTTACTCTTGATTTAAGGTTCCTTTTGCATCATTACAGAGAGCCAATTGTGAGACAATGCAGAATTTAAATTTATACAATTTTCCACATCTGTGAAATTTGCTGATTTCAAAGTGACAAAGTTTCTTAGAAGAGGAGGGTTGGTACTGTCAATCTAGGTCCTGAATATATACATGGTGAAGAGGGGGGGGAGAGGCCATAGAGCAGTGCTGTCCAACGTTCTTATGTACTCGGTCACAATTCACTGATGCCTATGGAGGTGCGGGCGCCACCACACACTACTACTACTACTACTAATAATAATAATAATAAAAAACAATAATAATAAAATTTTTCGAAAATATTTAACAGTGCTCAGACATTCAAAAATGTCTCTTGTCTTACAATTTGAATTAATATTAAAAATCGGCTCAATTATATGTGGTTACGGAGGGCGCCAGAAAAATATACCACGGGCACCGCGTTGGACAGGGCTGCCATAGAGGCACCCTTCACAACTCATAGATGAAGTGAAGAAAGCTACTATCAACCTTCAGTACTTAATTGCTTCAAGTTGGCACATATTAGCCTTATATCATATCAAAATCTATTTATCCATCTATTCTGGTATTTCAGAAACCATTACACTACATTTTTCAGCTCAAAATTTCACAAACTATCATTGTGTACATGTGTGTGCACATGTGCATGTGGTTTTATCTGGTGTATGAGACAGCTGATAGGCGAGATGCATATCAGAATGAATACAGAAAAGAATTAGGATCGGTTTTGAGAGATATACATATACTTGTATGATTGTCCTTAGGAGCTTCACAGGCAGGATGTGAGGCCTACTGAGCCTCCTATGCAGTGGGTACAGTGGGTAAATCGACAGGGGCATGAAGCTGACTATTCACTTCCATCTATAGTCGAGGTCAAGAATGGTGCAGCTCTACCTCCACTTCCCTATGTGTTTCTTGGCAAAGTGCTCACTTATTTACACTCATAGACAGCTTTTTTTAAGGAGCTTCAGTACACTTGTTTGTTCACATCTTATTTAGACCATTGGCAGTGGGCCAAAACACTGCACTATGGCCACCTTTATGTGACAGGCGCCACTAATTAAAGCTCTCATACATGTAACTATGTATTTCTAAGAGCACTTTTCAGTGTATCTTAGTATTTTTAAAGAGGATGGCATGGGCAGGGCATATAGCACACATGAGAGGAAACAGAAGTGCACATAAAGTTTTGATTGAAAGGAGTCCACTAGGGAGACCTAGACATAGATTTGAGGATAATCTTAAAATGGATCTGAATATGTGGACTGGATTCATCTGGCTTAGGATAAGAACCATTTGTGGTCTCTTGTGAACACAGTAATCAACATTTTGGATCCATAAACTGCTGGGAATTTCTTCAGTGGTTGAGTAACTATTGGGTTCTCAAGAAGAACTTGTCTCCATGGATTTAGTAATACTTCTGTTTGGGGACATGTAGGAGCCAGAGTAGCTTAGTCAGTATAGTTGCTGGCTATGGGCTGGATGACCGAGGGATTTGAGTTTGAATCGAGGTAAGAGCAAGATTTTCCCCTTCTCCGCGTTGTCCAGACCAGTTCTGGAGCCCACCCAGCCTCCTAGCCAGTGGGTACTGGGGGCTCTTTCTCCAGGATAAAGTGGCCGGGGCTTGAAGCTGACCACTCACCTCCAAGTATAGCTGAGGCCAAGAAAATGTAGTTCTTTACATTCACTCCCCCATGTGTCTCCATGGTGTCATGCTTAATTAGTTAAGCACAGGTACAATTTTACCTTTTTTATCTTGTGGACATGTAAGGTGTGTATATTCCTTTTTTATCACTCAAAAATGAATGGTTTAGGTGTGTTCTGAGGGATGGGGGATAGAAAAATGTACCCAGTCACCTTTGTGTTAAGAATCCCACCAAAACAGTGATACTGAAATATCTGTATTTTTATTATGAAGATTATTCATAAATTTGAAGAAGAGGACAGGGACACCTGATGGAAATAATGCAGTAGAATATCGAGAAATGAATTGGGTCCCTCTCTTTTCCAGGTGTCCCCGCCTCTCCCATGCAACAGTTTCAGTCCAGTGTTGGTGGTGGATGATGATGAAGTCTCTGCTGGTGGGGAGAACAGTGAGGAGTGTTCTGGTGGTGAGACAGGCTGCTGTGACAGTGAACCTGTCAGGTCTCAGCCAGTGATCCCACTTCTTACAATCCAGCAGCCATCACCTACACATCACGTTCCATCCATATATCTCCCCGGCTCTCCACCGCCTCAGCGAGGGGGTCACATGGAAACAAGCTTCCCTTTCCCAGGGAAAGGCCCACGTCGTCTGCTCAAAGAACTGGACAAACCAAACTCCTTGGATTTACCCTGTCCCCCACCACTCATCACCATTACCTGCAACATGAGTGAGGCTGAGTCGGACACAGAATCCATCTCTCCCGCAGCCAAGACTGGAGGAGTGCATCTAGGTGTTCCAGGGGGCAGTAGTGTAGGCATGTGTTACCTCAGCCCATTTTCCATGTGTTCACGTGCTGACCGCACAGCCTCTGAGTCCAATCTTAGTTCGTCAGGATATAGTTCCATGGCAAGCCCTGGACCATCTCGTTGTGGCTCAAATAACCCGCTCTGTCCATCGGAAGTGGAAGATCCTCCAGGTTCAGGCTGTGCTCCTGGCACCACAATCCTTCCTGGACACAGCCTCACTCAGAGGAAGCCCTCGCCTCTACTCCGCACTCCTGAGGGCACAACCTGCTCCAGCCAGTGTGAGGTGGAAGCTGAGAAACCTCCTGAGAGCCACGGGGTGCAAGGAGGCCATTGCAGAGGGCGCTCAGATTCCGAAACACTGTCTGATGACCTCTTTTTGGAGTCCAATGATGAAGGGATAGGTACAGATCACCTGGATGAAAAGATAGAGGAAGGAGAACTGAAAAGTGCAAAGGAATTAGAAGTGTTTATAGGTAAAGACCTTCTGGAGAATGGGAAGACACTTCTTGGCTTGCCATTACTGTCAGCTTCTCCTGTCACTAAGTTTGGCAGTGTTGACACTGGTTTGGACTGCTGTAAGCTGTTGGCCCCATCCTCCATACACAGCAGTAAGTCTTCCCTACAGCTCCCAGCCATCGTAGTGCAAGGAGATCCAGGTGGCTGTGAAAAGCACCTCAGCCCAGTGAGCTCGCGCAGTGAAAGTCCACTCAGTGATAAGATGGGTGGGCTTGGACGCTTTTCGCCATTATTTTATGGCCGACACAAGTCAGATCAGTTGCCTTTTACAGACTCAGATGGGCTGTATGACTGCCCTAGTTCAGACTGTCCCCTGAACCGAGTTCAGGGAAACACAACAGCACATCATCGTAAGTCAACAGGTCGAAGGCGAGAACGAAGATCAGCATCTCGTGCAGTTGGAGGTAATAAAACTCCTAGCCCCACTAAAGTAACAACGTTCCTGGATGTCCCTGGAAAGGAACAGTATTACCGTCCCACAGCTCCACGCAAACCCAGCCCCAAGCGATCAAGAACCCGTACTCAGCCACGTATCAGTTCTTCATCGTCTTCAGAGAGTGTCACCTCAACCAGGTAAGAATACTTTTTAATGATGATTCTTTCATTGGAAGGTATTTGTAATATAGTTTTTGTACAACTGGGTATTTCACATTGCTCAAATGATCAACAAATCTTGTCTGGTCATCAGCAAAATTATGAGAAGGAAGTTTAGTTTCTATCTCATATCATTTTCATCATAATTGGCAGTCAGTCTTGTGAAGCTGGACTTTAGTCTCCAGTGTTTTGTAGCCAGGCTCTGTCTCCAAAATACTGCATACTAATTCCATCTTCACATGGGAGACCACCTGAGAAAATTTTGTCAGGTATGTTCACTGTGTAAACTTTAAATCATATGTCATAAACAACATTAATAATTCTAAACATGTGCATTTCAAATATTGTTACTTATTTGCTCCTTGTTCATATCACAAGAGCACAGAGCACAGAGTATGTGTACTCATTTTGCAGGGAACTTCACAGTTCATCAGAGAAAATCATCAATCCTGACCGCATGTCTTGGCCTAGTCCACTTACGGGGCAAACAGATTTAGAATGGGGAAATGACAGTAAGGGACAACTCTCTGTCGAAGCATCTGGAGAGGATACAGGAGAGGTATAGTACACCACATTATTCTTCACAAACAGTGTAGTTGTTGTGAGACCAGTCTTGTGTTACATCTTTAGATCAACAAGTTCTTTATGTCATAAGATGAAGCTGTGGGAAGTACTTGCAATGCCTACTGTGCTTCAGATGTTTTGGTCTGCATATGAGTATATGGTGAGGCTTCTTCCAACTGTGAGTTAATAATATTAAGGTCTTCTGGGATGTGATGCCATAAAGAGGGACTCACACTTCTACCCTGAAGATGGAGACAGCAGGTTCCTTTGAAATGGAAGTACTTATCTACCACACTTCATCATAATCTTAATACTGAATGCAATGAAAACCTCAGCTTGCATTGCAAATGAGTAATTATACAAATTAATTCTAAATTTCTGCGCATAATTTTTGATAGAACAGATTTCCGTAAAGTTAGATTTGTCCATTGAAACCTCTTTTAATTTTCTCCCTTCCACTGTGTTTGCAATTGTTATCATAGAAGTAGCATAAATAATGCTTCATACTTAATTTATAGGTATCCTTATGGTCTATCTTCATACAAATTTTCAAATGGTTCCTTAGTAAATACCATGAAATAGAAAAGTAAGCATATATTTCAAGGTTCATCCATCATTTTATTGTTTCAAAGTCTTACATTTCATTTATTTATTTATTTTCTAGGAAGAAATTCCAAACATTTTGTGTAATACCATTGTGATTGCTTGTTAATCATGTTTCTAGATGCGAGTGTTGGTGTGTGGTTGAGCTGGCACTGTACGCTGGTTAAACCAGGATTGTTACATCATTTGCTGCACTCTCATATCTCAGAAAGAAACTTATGTAAAGAGGAGAATGTAATTTTGATCAATATATTATTTGTAACATTGTGTCATTTAGTTTTAGTCAGCCAGCTAAGTCCCTTCAGGACATATGTCTAGTATAGTTCATGCTTAATGCTTAACATAAAATAATAACCACATTTAATATGAAATTTTCACAAAAAATTTATAACAAGAAACTTAGTATAAGGCATAGTAACAAATCACTGTAATTGTAGTGTTTGTCTTCTTCTGGGTTAGTATGCCATATAATCATGTAGATGGATACCAGCATTTCAGAGGAACATGCTGCCATCTTCAGGGTTAAAGCGTGTAGGAATAGGGTCAGGTCACATAAATTCCTCGCCAACACATTCTTGGTTCTGAGTCCTGTGGTACTCATGACCATATTTTTCTGTCTCCCGACTCTGGGAGTGTGGAATCAATTGGTTATATAGACTGGCTGCAAGAAAGGTGACCACCACTCAAACCCGTGGAAGGGGACAAGGAAATTGAGTGCATTCTGGGTCAGCGGGAACAACAGAGGGAGAATTCCTTCCTATCATTCCTACTGGCCCAGACTGGGCCATATTTCTTCACCTGCTCCACATATCTGAGTGACCACTCTCCTTGCGAAGTGTATACCGATCCCAACCACCTCATACGTATTTCAGTCCTGGATATGGGTGTAGCATGTTCCTCTAGAACATCAGTGTCAGCCTACAACATTATACACAGTCATAATCCAGATCAGAGTCTGCTCAATTGCAGCTGAGAGAGCCCTACAATAGTGGGGTAGTAGTGCCTAGAATACTGCAGTAAAATCAGTCTTTAGCATCTAGTCCCCAAATTTTAGAGTTTAGTAATTCATTAGTGGAAACTACACATAGTAGTTGCAGCATACGAGCCTGATTTTTAATGATGTATGTAGTTTATTTACCTTGTTATACAAGAATGCAAATCATGTAAGTATACCATAGTGCTGCATAGTATGTCTGTAGAGGAACTGTTGCTAACATTGCTGTTCTGCCATTATGTATGTTTGCAATTAGTAAAAAACTGAAAGAAGAAGAAAAAAAGATTCATCATTCATTAAACATCGTAACATGCAACATTATTTTGTCTGAGCTACTAAAAAGCCTCAAATCTTACAATTAAATGAATTAAATAAATACATGCCCCTGTCTACTATAAATTCTATTGCAATTCTTTTTTATATATTGTCACATGTTGTGTAGGTCACGTGACAAATAACTTCACACCGTTTGGATCTAGCGAATTTATTCCGCACTCGCTCTTACAGTTACACAATTTACAGTTTCACAATTACTGTCATTTGCAGTATCACAGATACTTCTCCTGTAGTCATTTCCCTTCACTCAATACAACTCAATAACAGTGGACTTCAACTCACTCTGGCGAATGCTAGACTACAACTGACTGGTTACTCTGGTAATTCTCCTCGTTATGTAGCTTCCGCGCTGACGACACAGAAAACAGTTATGTGATAGCTACCACTGTTGCATAAACGCCGTGTTTACAGGCGTTGCTGGGCAACGCTGCCAAGACTTGTTTATTGCTGTGTAGTAACTGCGGTGTCCCCTGTTACGTCACTGTGGGAAGTGCTCTTATGCCACCGCTGGAAAAAGGGGGGGGGGGGGTTTACCGAGTGTTGTGCCGTCCAAGTCGCAATATGTTTTCCAAGTAATACCCTCTTACAAGTTTTCCCACCAACATTACATATATATTACTTGTTCTGTGTGCACTACATGGCTTGGCCATTAGGTTAGGTTACATTATGTATTATTCGTTCCTTCTTTATTTCCAGGAGGTAACAAGTCAAATGCTGCCCAAGATAATGACACACGATGAGCTACCAAAACCTCACAGAAAAGTGAGCAGGCTGAGAACCATCGGCCATCAAATACGGTATGCATTTACCCTCTCCCCTGAGGGTCAGAATTAGGTAAATGGGAGCGTTAAGTTGAAGGGATGGGTATGGATGCAGGGATAAGGCATAGATGATGATAGTAGTGTGGGGGCAGAGGAATAGGGAGTGATGGAGTGTACAAAGTTAGGGGTTGGAGGATCAGCACGTGAGGATTGTAGTGATCTTTCATTAATAGAGTTCTTATATCTCAGGTTCTTACAACGCTTGGAGTCAAGTCTGAAACGGCGTGAACGATTAGTGAGTCCTTCTGACAGTTGCGGAGAAGATGACGATGATGCAGAAGGTTCACCACAGTCACGATCTCCTCTCCTTGGTCACCACCGTCACCGCCAATATGAACAGGATATTCATAAGAGTGACGGCTTCAGTCAGTTGAACCAGCCTCCATCACGAAGTGGCAGAAGCCATCAGCGAGGGGCTGCGACAAAACAGAAGCATGGGACTGGAGCAGAATTACTTTTACCACCAGAAGATAGAGCTTGGCATCATGTCCGCATGACAGGATGTAGTGGCTGTGATGATTAGAATGTGTTACACATCTATGATATTATGGGTACCAAGTGGCAGAAATTTACACCTTCATGAAAATTGCTGTATCTGACAGCTTGTGACATCTGTTGGCATTTTATCTAACTACATAGTCACAAAACACGAGGGAATCTTTTCATGCATTTGAAATTCTTAGGAAGCTTTTGTATAAATTTATAGTCCCATGAGAGAAGAGCATCTCTGACAACCTGTAATGGCAGTTTGGTGCTGTAGGAACTAGGGCTGGAGCTTCTAGGGCTAAGAAAATATGTCTTAACTGAAATAATGTTTGATCAGGGAAGAATTAAGTTCATGATCTCCAAAATCGAGAATTTTTACATGTACAAAATGGACCATACTCATACGATGGAGTACCCAAAAGAAACCGAACTAATTTTTTTGTGGGCAGAGCTTTTGTAGTACCGCGTTTTGCCGCTATGAGCGCATAGGGCTAACATTCCTGAGTCGATAAGCCGACTACCGTTGCTTCAGAAGGTAAGGACTAGTTTCGGCAGAGTTTATAGTGACAACTGTTTTGTGTGATCGTCGTTTTTGCAATGGCCCGAACACATGAAAATGTTGAAAAAATTCGTGAAATCATCAAGGAAGATCGACGACGGACCATTGAAGAAATTGTGGAGCTGTCGGGAGTGACTTGGAGCTCAGTTTAGCGAATTTTGACAGAAGATTTGGGAATGAAAAGGGTGGCTGCGAAATTCGTGCCACGACTGTTGACTGCTGAACAAAAACAAGGTCGCGTGGAAGCATACTGTGCTTTGAAAGAAGAGTCCCAAAATGATCAAAACTTTTTTTCAGCGTTTTTCTGATGTTGCTGAGGTGAAGGAAAAAAATGATGGAGGCGCTGTCAAGCATCTCAAAAGATGAATTTAGACAATGTCTTGAAAAATGGAATAAAAGACTAAACAAGTGTATTAGTGTAAGAGGAGAGTACTTTGAAGGGGATTGAAGGTTTGTGCTTAAAATTTGAATAAATAAGTTTAAAAAAAAAATAAGTTCGGTTTCTTTTGGGTACCCCGTCGTACAAATACTTTAATATCTGAATATGCTAAGCATTGTGGTCAAGTGAGTAGCATTTGTGAGATCATGGATTGATATGTCCTCCTGAACCCTGACTGCCCACAAAGTTTTTATGGTTTTCCTTAGTCCCTTTGGATGTCAGGATAATACCTCAAATTAGGTCACGGCCACTTCCATTCACATCCTGTTCAATTCATTATTCACTAATTATCCTGTTACTTGCACTATGTAATGATAGCTATTGAAGGCATTACTAAATAAACCATAGATAATTAAAGAGAAGTTAAGGGTGGGGGGCAAACAGAATGGGCATGTCATGTAGCAGGCCACAGTACTTAAGAGGAGCACAGAGCCAAGTAAGTGTAAACAATCAAAATGATTAAATAACTTTTCATTCAGTTCAAAACATATGAACTATATGCAGAACATATTGTATGCAATATATATTTTCATTTACAGCTGTATTTGTATGCCCTGAGAGATTGACTGACTCAGATGATTTGCTGCATGTGGGATCATCAGATGCATCAAAAGATCATGAGCGAAAAAAGTCCAGTGAAGTAAAGGTTAATTTGGTAGACATTCCTAGATGAGGATGCTCCAGTTCAGTACCTGACACATTTCTAGGTGAAGATGTAAGAATTTCAATACCTGACACATTCCTAGGTGAGGTGCTCCAATCTCAGTATCTGACATATTCCTAGGTGACAATGTACCTGTCTCAGTATGACACTCCATGGATGAGGATGTTACAGTTTCAGTACCTGACACATTCCTAAGTAAACATGTTCCAACCTCAGCATCCATCACATTCCTAGGTTAGGTAAATATGTTCCAACTTCAGCATCCATCACGTTCCTAGGTGAAAATGGCAGTGTCAGTATCCGACACATTCCTATGTGAAGATGTTTCAACTTCATCCATCACATTCCTAGGTGAGGATGTTCCAGTTTGTGTGCCTGGTACATTTACCCACCTCTTGAACTGACTCAATGATAGCATTCACTAAAAATACATCAGGGGTGGCCAAATGTACCTGAACATCTTCAAGTTCAGGAGCCACAAACAGAAGTTGATTTGATGACATGGATGTTTAGATGCAAGCTTTCCATGTAGCAGATTTCATGAATTTCATTGGTAAGAAAGGGAGTGGCAAATATTTTTTTCTGCGAGCCATGCTTAAAAGAACAATATGTGGCTCACAAGCCAAGGTTTGGCCAAAAATGTAATATGTGATCAGTAAATACCATTATATACTTATGTGGTTTCTTTTGAATTTAATTTGACAGTGGTAATGTAAGCTAATATTTCAACACACAGTTGTGTGGGTATGGGATTCATTTACTTCACGACTATGAACGTCTCATTCTGAGTTATCAATTTTTGTGGTTTGCCACAAAAATACAACACATGTTGCAAAAGTCAGTGAATGAACTTAATGTTCTATTACATGTCCAGGAAACCTTCACTTCCTAATTATTTTTATTAATTAATACCTGGAAGGGTAAACATGTGTTACTTGGATATGCCACAGAAACCATTTTATATCGAGGTATAACATGTTTGTAAGTTTTGAGGTTTTCACGGCGATGACTATGAAGAAAGTCGTCTTCTGGGATCTGGCGAATACACGGCGCCAGATCCCAGAAGACGTCTTTCTTTATAACATGTTTGTTCATAAGGTATATGAAGCAATGATCATAACAGCTAAAGACCTATCATATAACAAACAGAAATAAATTGGAATTTTGAGACATGCAGTCAACTTTGATATGAAAGATTGCACTAATGTTTGTCTCCCTCAGTCAACTCTGTGCCTCCAGAAAACAAGGTAATGGCATGATTGAAAATCCTGTTTACCTTGTGTGGAAACAGGCATTGTGTAAACAGTTTGAAACTATTTGCAAACATTTTGACAATCATGTTTGATTTGAGGTTCTCACAGCACTGACTGTGAGTAATACTGTTGGCCTGACAGCAATCTCATGATACCTGTACGAATGATGGATTTGAGTCTTGTCTACTTAGAATGATCCACAGCCCATACCAGAGGGATATCAGGTTACTTAGTTACAAGCAGGTAGAGAGTTACAATTATTCCATGTTGCCCACTATTATCCAAACAAAACAGCTGTTCTTAACCCTTTAAATACCGAATTTATTCAAAATAATAACATAAGAATTCAGTCCGTACCTTACAGGAAATGGGGGCATTCAGTAATGTAGTTGATCGAGGCACTATGCTATAAGCCGGAAGGTCACAGGTTCTAGTGCTGATCAGGTGGATTTTTTCAGCTGACCTAATCCTTCCAGTGGCACTATGACCCTGGGGTCGACTCAACTGAAATGAGTACCAGGAATCTTTCTCTACTATCACTCTCTCATACATTCTCATAGCATGATGCTTAATTAATTAAACACAAGAATAAATGTACCTCCACGCTTACATGGCTGTATAAGTGTAAGGAAATTTAATTTGGTTTTTAAGGTGATTAAAATATTGGTCATCAGAAGAGAGAAAATCTGTGAATTCACTTCTGTTGACAACAAATATAACTTTCAAGTAATAAAATAAGCACTGGAGTTTATTATCTTCTGGGCTATGACGCCATGCAGTCTGGTAAACAGATTCTAAAGGATTCTGACAATGGTGGATGACAGAATTACTGGGTTTTTGGACTTTTTCCATCGTCCAGAATTCTAGGTAATAGAGGACATGACATTTTGGAAACTGGATCTGTTTTCATCTTCAGGTGAGAATGGAAGACACCTACTCAGTTTGGTCCCTTAGAAAGAGCTAATTGAGTGATTGATATTAGTTCTTTCTAAAGGGGCCCAACTAAGTAGGTGTCTTCCTTTCTCACCTGAAGACGGAAACAAGTCCAGTTTCTGAAATGTTGTGTCCTCTATTACCCAGACGATGGAAAAAGCCCAAAAACACAAGTAATTCTGTGAGTCTGGTAAATGTTTGGAGGTACTTCGTACCTCTGTCTTCAGGACAGAATAGTACTCAGGTTCATCACTATGGTAATGATTTACCAGACCACACGGTGTCACATCGTACAAGTCTTCATAGTCATCCCCATGAGAACTTAAAATGCCCGAAAATATGCACTATGTTAGATCAGTATTTCTGTTAACAATGAACAATTTGGTTGTAAATTTCTTTTAACTTATGGTTTATTTAATGCTGCTGTCAGTAACTCAGAACTATATAGCACTGAGTGGTAGGATAATAAATGACAAATTAGAAAAGATGTGGAAGGAAGTAGTGGCCCAGATTGTAAAATGACAGCATTCAGATGTTTTAATGCTCAACACAGTTCGTAAGAGGTAAGATAATGCTGTCCACATGCTTAACTAATTGAGCACTATACCATGAAGACATATGGGTGAATGGATGTATAGAGCCACATTTTCTTGACCTTGGCACTAGTTAAGAGGTGAGTGGTCAGTTACACGCCCTGGCCACTTCACCTCCAGTATGCGTCGGATAGGAGGCTGGGTGGGCCCCAAAACTGGTTTGGACAAGATGGAGAAGAGAAAATTCTTACCCCTACTGTGACTAGAACTCTGATCCCTTGTTTTTCCAGCCTGTAGCCAGTTGCTATACTGACTGTGCTATATATCTGTACGAGAGACGAATAAATGGCACTGTGGAAGACTAAAATCTAGGCTGTAAGTCAAGTTTGGGACCAAATGTGAGCCAGGGATCTCAAAACCAGGGCCTAAGCCCAAATTACCTGGCTCAGCAGAAAGTCATCACTATTTTCTCTCAGTGTAACTGTCCAAGAAGAGATTCTTTTTCTGCCATCCAGATTATCTTGCAAAATGATGCTCTTTCTCTTACAATCAAGGCAGAAAAGTAAATAATACTACTCGACAAATCTGTGGACGCGGAAGAAATGACTTGACATTTTCTCCCTTCTCTGTCTGTTTATAAACTTAGCTGCACGGTCAATGATTCAGAGGCTTCATGTGAATGACTCTGTAGCCAAATCTTTCCCTCAGTACCCCTTCCTGCTGCCCCATTCTGCTGCTAGCACTATGCCTTTCCCCCACACACCTCACAGTTGGGTTGGTAATATGTCATTTTCCTCTTTGTATAAACTAATTATCCTTGTTCAATTTGTGACTATAAATAACTTTTATATGAAACTCGTGTTTCTGCTGTGATCTTGAAACCTTCCTTTTTTTTTAAACTTTGTATATGTGTATATACTGATCTGTTATATGGTGTAGTTAACTGAAGAATGTTACTGGGTTGTCTTACTCTTTAGTGTGTTAACACAAATGATCTGCCTCACTTGGTATTAATCATCTATGATAAAGCTAAAATGAAATTTGAAGTTTTATACACAAAAGATTAATTTTATGGACAGTATTCCTGCTGTTTGTTTGTTA